TAGTAGTAGTAGTAGTACAGTAGTTGCTCTAACAACAACAGCTTGAGATACACAAGTGTATTGAGCAGCTCTAGAACTCCAGAACCGAAGCCATCATTGGAGGATCGTAGCCGAGTGCAAGCAACATCTCAGAATCGGCCTCCGGATGTGGCGGTCTCGAACCTGAATAGGGAACTGCTATGCTCAAGAAGGCGCACTCAAGCATGGCGCCCGTGCAAGACCGCCCGAGCACCGCGCTGATTCCGATAGTGTGTGTCAGTCTCCAGGAACCGCAGCATCTTCTGGAGATCGACATGTACGATGATCGGGGCCATCTCACGGATCCAAGCCAGCCTTGGAGGGAGCCCTTCCAAAACCCTACGACAAGAAAAGGACGTCAAGAAAGGCCGAGGCTTGCAGTGTCTCGTGTTGAATACTTGCAGACGGGCAACGTCATCCACAGGTCAGTCTCCTTGATGTCAGACCCCAGCTTTGCAATGCGTCTCTGCAACTTTGGCAGGGCATCGTCATGGTTGCGTTTCGCCAGGGCTCGGATATGCCTTACCTCAGCAAATCAACTCCACGTGCCTCCAACATCCACGCAGCCTGCTGCCCCCATTGCAACTCGGGTCCGAACTGCATTTCTTTGGCATTCAACCAGTTTGGACGCTTCGGAGAATTCTGTCGGGGGAACCACGAGCCGCCAATAAGCCTCGCAATGTCGGACATAAGACCTGCAAAATCACACTCTGCCGCACCTGCCTGCGCGTCGTCTCTGATGCCTGCCTGACAGAGGAGAAAGTCTTAGGAGAAAAGCCGAGAAACATCTTCGTGTCACAGCGCAGGCGAGCCCTTCGTTCCAGACTCAAGGCTCGGTTGCTGGCCTGTGTGGAGGAGGATGCGGTATATGTGGTCGGGGATTGGTATCATTGTGGCTTGCGCCTCTGCCCTTCGGAACTGGTTGGTCCGAAATGTCTCGCTGGGCCCGGACCTCTGCGCATGTCGCCTGTGGTCGATAGAGCTTTGGATGTCGTGGGTGGGTGCGTGTGTCTCAGTGTCGTCTCTGTGTGTCTGTGTGTCTGTGTGTCTGTGTGTCTGTGTGTCTGTGTGTCTGTGTCTGTGTGTGTGTGTGTGTGTGTCTGTATGTGTGTTTGTGTCTGCCTGTGTCTGTCTGTATCTGTCGTGTCTGTCTGTTTGCTTTCTTGCTTGCTAGGGGTAGGAGGAGGACGAACCCCCCGCCCAGGTTAGTCTGCGAGGCCCCTTTCCGGGATGAAGACATCCTTGTTCCGACTTGTTCCCCCCGATGTGCCTGTTGATCCCGACCCGAAAAACACCCCTGCAAAAAACAATGACCATAGCCAGACCTTGCAGACGCAACCACGGTCATCCAAGGGCCTTCCAAGCACAACTACAGGAGAGCCAGCTTCCCTAACAGAAAAACATACAATGAAAGTCCCAGTGCAAGTAGTACATTCAGTAGTCTCCCGGCTGTCTCCTTTTCACTCTGGCCGTGTCCCCACGCGCAGAGATCGAAGCCCCAGACTCCTCAGGCAGATCAGCAGCGCGGTATCTCGATCTCTGCTACTAAGGCCAATCGAGCTCCGCTCGTTTGTTTGTTTGTTTGTTTGTTTGCTTGCTTGCTTGGTTGCTTGTTTGGTTGCTTGTTTGTTTGCTTGCTTGCTTGCTTGCTTGCTTGCTTGCTTGCTTGCTTGCTTGGTTGCTTGGTTTGTTGGTTGGTTGTGTGTTTGCTTGTTTGTTTGCCTTTGTTTGTTTGCCTTGTTTGTTTGCATTTGTTTGTTTGCATTTATTTGTCTGCATTTGTTTGTTTGCATTTGCTTGTTTGCGTTTTTTTGTTTATATGTGCTTGCTTGTTTGTTTGTGTGTGTGGTGTTGTGTGGTGTGGGTGAGGGTGTGGGTGTGGGCGTGGGTGTGGGTGTGTGCCTGTGTGTTTGTTTGTTTATTTGTGTGTTTGTGTGCTTGTTTGTTTTTTTGTTTGTTTGTGTGTTTGTGTGCTTATTTGCGTGTGTGTGTGTGTGCTTGTTTGTTTGTTTGTTTGTTTGTTTGTTTGTTTGTTTGTTTGTGTGGTTGTGTGTGTTATGTGTTTGTGTTTTTGCGTGTTTGTGTTTGTTTGTTTGTTTGCTTGTTTGTTCGTTTGCTTGTTTGTGTGTTTGTGTGCGTGTATGTGTGTTGGTTTGTGTGTTTGTGTGTTTGTGTGTTTGTGTGTTTCAGTGCTTGTGTATTTGTGTGTTTGAGTGTTTGTGTGTTTGTTATTTGTGTACGTTTGTGTGTTTGTGTGTTTGTGTGTTTGGTTGCTTGCTTGCTTGCTTGCTTGCTTGCTTGCTTGTTTGCTTGCTCGTTTGGTTGTTTGTTTGTTTGTTTGCTTGTGATTGTATGTTTGTTTGCTTGTTTGTGTGTTTGTGTGTTTGTGTGTTTGTGTGATTGTGTGTTTGCTTGTTTGTTTGCTCGTTTGTTTGCTTGTTTGTTTGTTTTTGTAACTGTTTTTGTTTGTTTGTTTGTTTGTTTGTTTGTTTGTTTGTTTGTTTGTGTGTTTGTGTGTTTGTGTGTTTGTGTGTTTGTGTGTATGTGCTTGTGTTTGTGTTTGTGTTTGTGTTTGTGTTTGTGTTTGTGTTTGTGTTTGTGTTTGTGTTTGTGTTTGTGTTTGTGTTTGTGTTTGTGCTTGTGTTTGTGTTTGTGTTTGTGTTTGTGTTTGTGTTTGTGTTTGTGTTTGTGTTTGAGTTTGTGTTTGTGCT